TCCAAGTCTAGCCGAGACACTCCATCTTAACAGGATTAAAATGATGTTAATTTGACCATAGTGTCCTACATGATGTCCCATTAAGATCTCAGAGAATGGGCAGACGGCCCAAGTTATTACCCTACTTTTAACATACTTCAGCGAAGGACAATGAAGCTTTGTGAAAATGTTTAATAGCAGACAACTACTATTAACCTCTTACGTTGGTGTGTACAGACAAAGAGTTAAAAACAAACATAATTTTTTACATATTTTGAAGAAAATGTAGTTCAAAATTTAGGTTTGGTAAGATTTTAATGTTTTTTAAAGTCTCTTCTGCTCACCATTTATTTGATCAAAAATGCAGCAAAACAGTAATTTTTGTGAAACAGTATTTCAATTAAAAAAAACGGTTTTCTATTGTAATATATTGTGGAAGTTACCTTGCTGTCAATACAGGTTCAGAAAGCTCTTGGATTTCATCAAAAATATCTTAATTTGTGTTCCGAAGATGAACGAAGGTCTTACAGGTTTGGAACGACATGAGGGTGAGTAATTAATAAGATAATTTTCATTTTTGGGTGAACTATCCCTTTGAAAACAAACATGAAAAAGAATTGTGATAAGATTGTGGATTATGATTCTGTCTGAAAACAATTGTGATATTTTGGCCATATCTTCCACACCTATTATGAATTCATTTTCATTTTATAGCTCTGCAGTCTTACTGAGTCAACAATTGACTCGTATGTGTCATTTCTATTCTAAGGAATTTTAAGAGAATTTTTGAGACAAAGTTGATATAGAAAACTCAATTATATCTCCTGAGCTATGAAGGAACAAAATCTCTGATAACACTGAGCTGATCATCTGCCAATGTTAAATTCAGGCCAATTTTAGATCTATTGACGCCCTCGTCCATTTGAACCTTTTCCAAGCATCCGACTTTAGATGTCTGAAGTTGATGACTCTGGTAACTGGCAGGCTGTTTTTTTCCATTAGGCTGCAGTGCCTTAGATGCAATACAGGCAGTATAGATCAATACATAGAAGGAGTGCTTATCTTTAGACTCATTCCCACTGGTGCACAGCAATTACAGGCCTGACACTGACTAGCTAAATCAATTCTAGCATCTTGTCAGCACATGGAGAGAGCGAAAAAGCACGGCAGGCACCACTAACATAACGCTGAAGAAAAAGCGAATGGTAAACATAACACAAAAAAACAAAATCTTCTACAAATAGCAGCAAAAAGCACTAGTTAAGGAGTTAGAGCGGTGCAGCTTCCAGTGGGCGGATTTCAATGGCCGTTTCTTTTTCCTTGAGTCTTTGGCAGTGCAGGGGCCACTTTTAAAAAAGGATGAACATCAATTGGGAGCTGGCGCCCAGCCACTTTGTCTTCTGTTCCCTTTGACTGAACCTCCTCTACTCTGTCCATCTCCCTCCCCCAGTACGATGTTGTCTTCAGGGAACAGCACAGTCCTGGCCAATGCCTCCATGTGCCTCTAAGGGTTCTGCGAACTTGACGCACAGAAGTGCAGGCATGCAA